GTTCGCTGAGCAGTATCCACACTGTGTTTCAGATTTGCAATATTTACTTACGTGACCAAATTTCTGACATTTATAGCATCTAGCAACCCTGAGAAAGTCCTTTATATTTAAAGATTTCCATCTTATGTAAACTTTACTTTCGTTTTTTATAAGATAGTTTCTAGCCGCCGGATGCAATTCGACTACCCATGTGTTGTTACCCTCAGTTTTTTTCCCAATTTTAAAACATGATTTGACAAAATTTTTTGGCACATTCTCGGACAGAGTTTGTTTACTGAGCTCGTCAATGAGTTCATCCGCATCCATGTCTTTTGGGACGTCAAATATTTGAATTTTGGGCCATGATTTGTTTACTCTTTCCGCGCAAAGATTTAGTGTTTTCAATGTAGGATTTTCGGGCAAGTCTAGAATTGAGGAGCAGTTGGATTCTATTAGGATTGAGTTATTTCTAATTGGCACGATTCTGTTAACTTTAATACCAAAGTCTTGAGGGGATTTCGACATAAGTATTTTACGGGTGTCTTCTGATGATTTAACGTTCTTTAGACTGTCATTTGGTTTAATAATTACTTTATAATTTGATTGGGGTAATTTCGGGGGTGTTTGAGAAATTTCCAGTGACTTTTCTGGTAATTTGGTTTTTAAAATCTGGCTGTAGCGTGGGCCGATGGGAGATGTGTTTTCACTTGAATTCAAATTTAAGTTGCTAAGTTTTTTATCTATACTGTTTTCTACAATTTTAGCAATTTTTATTTCTAGGTTGTTATCCAAATAATTAGATTTTTGAAAATTTAGTAAGATATTGCGAAGTCCAGCTTGAATGTTATGTATTGCTGTTTGGTACGTTTGTTTTTCTCGAACGCAATCTTTAGYTTTTATAACAAAAGAGTCTAATACATCTAGATTTTTAGAGCAATTTTCTATAATTTTTCCTATGTCATAAGTTTCGGTTTCAATTTTCTCGGTTCCGACTGACGACGCCGTCGAATTTCGACGAGTCGTCGTCATTTTTACAGAGAAAAAAGCCCGGATGGGCAAAGAGTTTTTAAACGACTCACCGGTTTTTTGTTGAAATTCCCACAGAAATTTGCACTAACACAAGCACAAACTAGTTGCTTTCACTTTTCGGTGCTTGGTGGTCAGAGCGTACGACCCGACCGGTCCAAGCGATGAACAGTGACTGACTGAAGGAATCAAAAAAAAAAAAAAAAAAGGTGCCCGAAGGCACGTATATTCATAAACATTCGCCAAATTGGGCGACAAGACTGTTGCAATTACATTCATTTGACAAAGGTGTACATCAATTTTCCAATATTAAAATCTATAACAATTTTCCAGACGAGCTGGCGTCAAAATTCCGTCCCTGTTCTTGTGTTTGAAGCATGCGTGAAAAAGCGTTTTTCAAAGTTTTCCCAAACCTTTTTGCCAAGGGGGTGATGACTGTGTTTTTTTTTTTTTTTTTTTTTGACAAAGAGAAATGGAGGGCCAGTTTTAGAAAAGTTTGAGAAACTGCGATTTTTCTTTGACGGGAGCGTTTCAAAGGTAGTGAGTGTAAGTGAAACTTAATCTATCCTATCTAATTTAACCTAAAAATAAAAGACTTAATCTACGTGGGTGTGCGAGTGTAGTGTGAGTGAAAGTGTGCGAGTGAGTGAGTGCGTGCGGGAGAGATACTGTGTGTGTGTGCGTGTGAGAGAGAGAGCGATTAATCTAGTTACCTAACCTATCTCTTACATATTAATCTAATTTAACAGTATGAACTTAATAACTAACATGCAAGCCTAACTAATTGGACTTCCCAATCCGATTTTGTGCGTCTGCGAACAGGTGGTGCTCCAAAATTATGTGGATTGGGTCGTCACGCCTAACCTAGTTTTACAGTCCTAACCTAATTTCTTATTCTAAAGTCACATCCGGGGGGGTCAAATTCAGGGTAAGTGTACGAAACACTTCGTCATCGTCAATGTAGGCCACCTGAGTGAGATCAGGTGGCCAGGTTCCGGTAATTCCCCGGATCCGTTCCTGGGCTTCCCCAAAAAGGGGGCATTCCAGAATGCGGTGGACCGGGTCGTCGTCATAATCGGGGCAATTTGGACACAATGAGTTTTCGCTTTTTCCAAGCCGTGATTGGTGGATACCAAAGTTCCCGTGTCCTGTGAGAACTTGTGACTTGTGATGCGAAAACTTTATAGGGGGTCCTTCGAGGCGGTGAAACACGTCCGGAAGAAATTCAAACGAAATGCGGCCTTTCGTTGATGTTTCCCAACGGTTTTGCCAACAGTCAAGCGCCCGAAGACGGACATATTCCTTACAGTGTGCCATGGAGTCGAATGTTTGCGGAGTAATTATTTCATCGAAGAATAAAACATTTCGGCCATGTTTTATTTCGCTGAGGCAATTGCGCATTTGAATTTCGATGTCCATGGGAAAAATTCCGGCAAGAACTGCAGCAGCCTCTTTTGAAACAGAGGCATAGCACTTCGACAATATTCGGTTAAAAGGCGCTTGTGCAGACAAGTATTGTCGGTTGCTTTTGACAATATGAAGACGGTCTGACCAGATGCGGCTGCCATATGCAATGATTGGAATAATGGCCCCGTAATAAATCGTTTGCAGAGATTTATCGCAGGTTTGTCCGAATTTTCTAGCGGCGAGGCTACGAAGGCTCATCGTGATTTGCCGGACTTTCTTCGCCGAGTGGATGGCGTGGCTTTCGAAATGCAACTTCGAATCGAGCATGATGCCAAGATACTTCTGTGTCTTCACCAGCGAGATTTTGTTTCCATATACTCTGATATCGAGGTCACGGTGATGGGTTCTCGGGGGGCATTTGTGGATCATAAATTTGGTCTTCGTTTCTGAAACACTCAATTTATTACGAGTAGCCCAATCTGTAATTTTGTTAATTACCTGAGTTAGTCGTGTTTTAAGCTGTATTCGAAGGTCTGATCTAACGATGACAGCCAGATCATCGGCGTATGCAATCGGGGTCGCAAAGTCCGGCCATTCTGAATCCAAAAGAGTGTCCATAATCAGGTTCCATAATGTGGGGCCCAAAACAGATCCCTGAGGGCATCCTTTGGTGCAGAGTTTTTGGACAGTGACATCCCCTTGTGTGAATTCCACAACGCGGTCCATTAGGTAGCTTTTGATCATGGCTGTCAGTTTCGAAGTTGCTCCTCGATTTCTTAATGTCTTGATAAGGGATGGCCACCAAAGATTATCAAACGCGCCCTTGATGTCGAAGAAAATTGTCGCCACATACTTGGCCTGGGAGTCTCGAATTGTTGAGACAAGTGAGTGCAATGCATCACTTGTCGAACGTCCTTTGACAAATCCAAATTGGCGATGAGAATGTAACGGCGACAATTCTTCTTCAAGCTTTCTCCTGATGGTTTTCTCAAGGATTTTTCCATGTTCCGGAAGTAGCGTTATCGGGCGATAATTCTTAATGTTTGAGTGGCTTGCGTTAGGGTCTTTTAACAGAATTACAAGGTTGCCCTTTTTCCAGGTAGACGGAAAGTAATTCAGGGTCCAACAGGCATTGTAAATTCTGGTAATCAGCGGTATAATTTTGGGGTGCAATTTTTTAAGGATTTTTCCTTTTAAATTGTCAAGGCCCGGGGCTTTTTTGTTCTTGATTTCGGACACAAAGTTATCAACTTCCTCTTCGCTAATAACAACGTCACTCCCCACTTCCGCAGTGGTTGTTCGATAATCGCTTTGAGTGACACGTTGCTCCGCGGTGTTGATATCTGGATCGTCATCAGGGAGTAAATTCGTGACGAGAAATTCCATGGTTGATCGAAAGTCCCTGGTTATGTTTTCCTCGTCGGTTTGAAAAGATTGCAAAATTCCACGAGTTTTGAATTTCTCAGAGGCCAACTTATAGATAACTCCCCAGGGGTTTCGAGCCAGGTCATTCTCAGCGAATTCCAACCAACATTTTTGTCTCCGTTTCTCTACTTTCTCTTTGAAAGTTTCCTTTGCCCTGGTCATTTCTGCGAAAAGATGGTCGGAATATTCTCGAAATCTGTTGCGATAAAAGAGAGTCTTTTTCGCGAGGTAGATTTTTCGAAATCTCTCCAATTCTTCGTTCCACCAATCGGGCCTTCCTACAAAATTTTTGCGTTTTTTTCCGTATTTCAGGAAAATTTTTGCAAGTCCGCTGTATAATTCCCTCGTCGCATTTTCGATTTCCAAGATTGAGTCAATTGTTGAAAATTTTTCATCCAAAAGGTTCATCAGGTCATCGACATGCGGTTGAAGAACTTCATCTTTGATCGAGTTTACGTCCAATCTGTAATTAACACAAGGTGTAGTATGGTCTGCGTGTGCAAAGTTTTTATTAATTTTGAAACTAATTAAATTGTGATCTGATGAGGTTGCGTTTTCAACTTTCCAGTTTGAGATTTCAATAAAAGGATTATTTGAAATAATTGTCAGATCAATATTTGATTCGCCATTAATGGTTTGAAAAGTCGGTAAATTATTTGGTTGATTAGCTAAATTAAGATTGTAATTTACAATAAATTCTTCAATAATGTGTGACTTTCTATCATTAAAACGATCAAACCAAAGCTGCGACCTTGAGTTAAAATCCCCACAAATAATAATTCTGTTACCTGCTACAAATTCCAATATSTTATGCGGGTTTTCAAAAATTGGCAACGGACTTTCACTAGGAGGCAGGTAGACGCTCAAGCAATAAATTTGTACATTTTTCACAGAAATAGAAAGCAATGTTAGGAATTTATTTGAAAGTTGAGAGTAAAATAATGGGTTTAAACTAGGGTCAAAACACAGAATTGCCGTTTGAAATTTTGGATCGTTAGTTGCAAAGCAGCTAATTGCGGTCGAGATTCCAGACAATTTGTAATTTTGCCCACATTTAACTCTATGCGGTTCTTGTAAGAAAGCTAATTGAACTTTATTATCAAGTGCAAATTTTACTAATTCTGCCGTTGCCAATTTTGAGCCATTGCAATTTAATTGAACACTATTGATCGTGTTAACCATCAAAATTGATATTTTTGATGGCCTCTTGCAGCCGATGTTTGTAAATAGGGCAGTCAGACGACCCCGCAGCATGACTAGTTTCTTTCTGATCGGCTCTTACACAATTGCTACATTTATGTTTGTCCTGCTCATTTTTAAATTGACATGACGTAGATTCATGTTCAGTACTAGCACAATACCATTGTTTTTCAGAAGTGCAAAATTTCGAAACGTGACCGAATTTTTGACATTTGAAACATCGCGTGACCCTTAGATAGTCCCTAATATGCAACGATTTCCAACTAATGTACATTCTACTGCCTGTTTTAATAAAATAATTACGAGCTGCAGGGTGTATTTCAACTACCCAATTATTATTTTTTGCCTCTTTGTTTCCAACTTTAAACGCGGATTTAACAAATTTTTTGGGGACACTATCAGGCAAATTTTCTTGGTCTAAAATTTCGGAGATTAATTGATCCGTTTCCAGTTCTTTGGGAACGTCAAAAATTTGAATTTTCGGCCAAACTTTATTTATTCTCTCTGCACAAAGGTTAAGTGACTTCAAAACGCAATTTTCTGTCAAATTCAAAATTGACGGGCAGTTTGACTCGACAAGAATTGCGTTGTTTCTAATCGGCACCATTTTGTTAACTTTTATGCCAAAATCTTTAGGAGACTTTGACATCAGAATTTTCCGGGTGTCCTCAGATGATTTTATGTTCTTCAGACTATCATTGGGTTTGATGATAACTTTAAAACTAGTTTGAGGAAGTTTGGCCGGAGTTACTGTTATTTCACTGTTTTTAGGCAAATTGGACTTTAGAATTTGACTGTATCTAGGGCCAATTAGGGAAGTATCATTATTGTTAGCACTACCTAATTTACTTTCGATGGCTTTTTCAACAATATTCGTAATTTTATCTTCTAAATTTGTATCAACACTAGGTTTTGCAAAGTTAGTAGAAATATGTCTAAGGCCGGACTGAATGTTTTCTATGGCATGTAGATAAGTTTGCCTGTCTCTAATACAGTCTTTTGACTTTAAAATAAAGGCATTCAAAATTGACAAATTTGTCGCGCAGCTTTCAACTATGCTGGATATATTATCTTTATCGTATTCTATTTCACCTAGGCTTGCTAACGACTCAGTCGAATTTCGACGAGTGGTCGACATTTTTAAAGAAGGCCCAGAAGGGCAAAATAAAATTTTAAACGACTCACCAGATTTGATTTTATTTTGCTTTCGGCCTGGAAATTGCTTCTTCACAAAACACAATTTCCACTTTCACTTGTCGGTGCTCGGTGTGATCAGAGCGGAGCGAAACGATCCGATCGGTTCGAGCGATGAACAGTGACTCACTGAAGGAATCAGCGTGTCCTCCCTGGCCGAGCGGDCCGGGTAACCCGCTGAACCTCCTTCGTGCTAGGGATTGGGGCTTGCAATTGTTCCCCATGAACGAGGAATTCCCAGTAAGCGCGAGTCATAAGCTCGCGTTGATTACGTCCCTGCCCTTTGTACACACCGCCCGTCGCTACTACCGATTGAATGATTTAGTGAGGTCTTCGGACCGGTGCGCGGTGGCGTTTCGGCGTTGCCGATGTTGCTGGGAAGATGACCAAAC